ACCTCAAAAACTGATACCCACAGAATGATAACTGCCCTTCCTTCCCATAAGTCTTAGGAAAAAGAACCATGGAGCCAAAGAAGAATCACATAGCAGATAATAATTGCTTGGTTGTTGTGATAATATTCCAGGGATAGTCTACACTCTATCCACACTCAGTCAAAATATCTGTCCTGTATTCTCTAGTTTTACCCCCACCCCTACCCTAACACGCATCCCCGGAGACAAGCAGGGTCTCTTCGCCGGGACAGGCCTCAAGTTAGGATCCTCCTACTTCAGACTTCTGAGTCTGGGAATTCTGAATGTGCACCACGATGCCCAGCTTCTCCTCCTCTCTTGTGCAATCAGAAATGCTGAGAATGCACCTTCAAAACATGCAAAATTCTCAACTGCCAATGGTGCTTTAACAGATACTTCAATATAAAACTTTGGACACACTCTCGTCCCCCACCCCACAAAAAGTTAAACAAATCATACAATCAAAATATAGAGGTAGATACAATGAGGTAAAAAAGGACCATGGCTATAAGAAAGGCTTGGACTGAAGAGGACCTGAGGAGTCTCAGGGTTGGCCAACTGAGAGATTTATTGTCTTATCAAAAAAATAATTATTATTTCATTCAAGCTACAACATCCCTTCCTTCTTGTTTTGGTGGACACACTCTCTTCCATGGGTCCTGCAAATATCCTGAGTCAAGGCTGCTCCTGGTTCCCAGGTCACAGATGCTGCCTCTTTATCTGACAGTGCATTGGATGCTGAGGCTAGTCAGCTTAAACTGCCACTACAAAATCCCACAGAGGGTATATTAGACAACAGACCGACTTTCTGTTCTAGAGCCTGGAGTACAAGACCAGGACCAAACAGCATTGGTATCTAGTGAGCTCTCTCCTACTGGCATGTTTTCTCTGTGTATGCCCACAAGCTTTTCCTCTGTGTGTGAGGAGAGTGCCTTTGGTCCGTGTCTCTTTCTCCCCTTAGAAGCACACAGTCCTGCCAGATCAAGACCCTACCAGATGACTTTGTTTAAGATTAATGACCTCCTTAACAACCCCATCTCCAAATACAGTCACATGAGAAAGTAAAGCTTCAACCTCTGAGTTGGTGGGTAAAGGAGAACATTCTGTCATGGAGCCTCACTGCCACTTGGGCAAGTGTGACCTCATAACTGATGTCAGTTTCAAAGCATTCCAGAAAGGAGTCTGCAGTTGGCACATCAACCAGACTCTGAGAGGATCTTCTGTCAACAGAAATAGCCCCAAACTTTGAAAAGAAAAAAGGGAGAATGCTGTGAGATAGTGCTCTTGTACACTGTAAAGATTTGTCACTCATATTGGCTTAATAAAATACTGATTGGCCAGTAGCCAGGCAGGAAGTATAGGTGGAGCAACCACACTAGGAGAATTCTGGGAAGAGGAAAGGCAGAGACGCAATCATCATCCAGAAGCAGAGGAAGCAAGATGAGAATGCATTACTGAGAAAAGGTGTCAAGCCACATGGCTAAACATAAATAAGAATTATGGGTTGATTTAAGCTGTGAGAGGTAGTTAGTAATGATCACGAACAATAGGCCAAACATTTTATAATTAATATAAGCCTCTGTGTGTTTATTTGGGACTGAATGGCTGTGGAACCAGGTGGGACTGAAACTTCTGTCTACAATCCTCTTCTTGTGGATAAGTGGTTACATGACAAGCATGGATTTTAGCATCTAGGGGACATTGGATAGTATCTAAAGACAACTCTGGTTATGGATACAACTGGAATCTAAGAGGAAATGACTAGGGATGCTATTAAGCCTTACATCTGCTGAATTGACTGAATTAGCAGTGGGGCCAGGGTGGAGAAACCCTGCACTGTGGTGTAACACTCATGTGAATTGGGATGCACTTCTCTATGGAAGACCCTCTCACAGAAGCCCAGACTGGAAATAAGGATCTTGGATACTAGTGTCCATGTTAGCATGGAAATTCCCATCCTAAGCAAGCCTACCTGGAATTGCTAAGGGTTACGCATTTTCGTGGTCTGTCTAGAGTGGAGGGTTCATAGGCTGGCCCTGAGGAAAGAGATCCAGGGGAGATGGCCAGGGTCACAAGTGAGGAAAGTAGACACTTGCTTTCTTATGACGCTCACCACCTCTTTCTGTTTTACCGTATGTGGATCAGGCCTTCACCTCTACCCTCCTCCCGTGCCATCTTCCATAAGCCAGCAGGACTTGACTACTGAACCTATTTGAGATATATCAAATAGGATATATATCTTCCTAAATAACTTTTTCATTTAGAAAAGACCATTTCATTTTCTTTTGGCATATTTTAAACTTTTTATTTATGTGTATGGGTGTTCTTCCTACATGTATCTCTGTGTACCATGTGCATACCTGGTGCCCTTGGAGATCAGAAGAGGATGTTGGATCCCCTGGTGCTGGAGTTATACACAGCTGTGAGCCACCATGGGTCCTCTGGAAGAGCAGCCAGTACTAACCACTGATCCATCTCTCCAGCCACCACCCCCACTCCCCTGCACACACCATTGTCCTGCTTATAAAATTAAAACATACTCTTGGTCAAAAATTTCTAAGGCAAAGAAAGAAAAAAAGAAAGAAAGAAAGAAAGAAAGAAAGAAAGAAAGAAAGAAAGGAAGGAAGGAAGGAAGGAAGGAAAGAAGGAAGAGATTAGAAAGCTCCAGTATGATGGTTTGAATCTTGAATCTTAAATGTCCCCCAAAAGCACCTCTGCTAAGGCTTGCTCACTAGCCTGTGGCTCTGTTCAGAGGTGGTGATGTCTTCAAGAGATGGAACCAGGGCTGGAGATGTAACTTCATGGTAGATCACTTGCCTGGCATGCACAAGGGCCTGGATTATTTCTCTAGAATAAAAAGATAGGGATTTTGTTGTTGTTGTTGCTTGAGGTTTTGTTTTGTTTGTTTTGTTTCTGTTTGGGCATTTTTTGAAGCAGTGTTTCTCTGCATAACAGTCCTGGAACTCACTTTGTAGACCAGGCTGGCCTCAAACTCACTGAAATCTTCCTGCCTCTGCCTCCCAACTGCTGGGAATAAAGGCATGCACTACCACCGACCAGCCAAGATAGGGGTCCTAAAGGGAGAAAACATTTGGGGTTGAGGAGTGTGCCTTCGAAGGGAATGCTGTGCTCTGCCCTCTTTTCTGTTTCCCAGCTACCACAAAGGGAGCAGACCCCATCTATGAGCTCCGGCCATAGTGTGTGATGGGCTGAAGCCTTAGCCAAAGTGTATATTTCTTATTTTAAGTTTGTTTATCTCAGGTAATTCATCACCGAGCCAAAAGGCTACTAAAGCTCCCAGAAATTAAGAAGTAATCTTTACTCACAATCTCCCCTCCCAAAGGCCATTGCTGCTTAGATGTCACAGTTTCGTCAGCCTTCCATATACAAAACAAATCTGGTACATGGACAATCACAGCTCAAATGGTGCTATTGTAAAGCAATTGTATTTGTCTCTTGTAGCTCTTTGTAAATTTGGCCAGTGAGGTTAGTGTCCCTGGCTGCAAAATTAGGTAGCCTGGAGAATTGTCTGTCCCCTCATGGCTAGCTGCAAAGCCATGGAGTCTTCTCAAGCTTTAAAATGCAGGGGCAAGTCAGAAATGGTCATTTCCAGTGCAGAGCGAGGTGCTCATTGGTCTTCGTTTCCAGTAAGACTTCTTTTTCAGATGCCGGGAGGAAGGGAGGTTGTGGCTGCTTTTCTCTCTCCTCCCCAACACCCCAGTCTTCTCCTCTGGACCAATGGATACTGGCCAGGAGGAAAGCAGATGAGAGTCTTGGAAGATAAGCTTGTGTGTGCTGCACTTCAGAAATGCCTGAATGCTACTTTCTAATTAGAAATGGCTTTGGATTACTCAGAGGCCCTGCCTCTGAAGATCCCTTGCTTACAATGCCTAGGATACAATGACTTTATCATCTGTGGGTTTTTCCCCTCACTCTGCCCCTCAGAAAGCCAGTCATCCACTGCCATTTTTCTCTGTACTCTATGCAGCTTCCATAGGCAATGGTACTGGGCAGGGCCTCCATCTCCCTTTCCCTGACAAGTGTCCTGAGCTACGTACCTGGGAAATAGGCAGAAACTCACCCCCAGCAGACTCCATGAGTGTGTATAGCTGGGGCAGTACCAGCCTGCACTTCACTCTGAACTCTAAGATAGCAGAGGTATGCCCTTCCCGCCTTAGGGTTTCACAGGCAGGGATCTCAATCAGAGTTGTCCACTGCTTCCATCTTCCCAAGGCAGGGGACACATGCCAAGCTTCCCAGCAGGCTCGACTGAACCTCTTCCAAGATCTTAGGGGATTCCAGGTCCTCCTAAGATCCTAAAACAATTTCTTCTAAAACATCGCCTTTCAAAATCCTTATCGTCTGACTCTCACCGTGGAACCACAGCCACTGCACACCGTTCTGTGTCCTTCTCTAGCCTTGTCCCTGAAGAATTGAAATATTTTAAATTCATGTATAGCAACCGGGAAGAAAGAAGAGATAAGGAAGGGAGCCAAATTAGGGGGAGAACTGTAGAAAAGAATTATTTTTTTCCATCCTTGGAGGTGTGTATGCTTTCTGTAAGCATACCAAGTGGGTTGTGTCTTTCTTGGTTGGCTGATAAAATTATATTTGAGGAACTAAAAATATAAACATTTAATAATGTTTTAGAAACTCCCAAAACTTCCCCCAAATTGTTGTCGTCTCCCCCCCCCCCACCCCGTGCTTCTTTCTGTGTTTCTTAGATGCTTCACAGTACCGCTTATTTTTTCTGAATAAAAACATTGCAATTGTCCAGAGCTCTCTTCCTTTGCCCCAGTCAGGGCAATTCATCCCCAGAGCTGTTAGTTCTGCCCCCTTGTGGTTGTCTCCTAACTAATACTCATCACTAGAGCCCAAGGATGGCCATTGGAATGGGGCCTTGGATCTGAGTTTATTAAGAAACAGATCAGGGTTTTCCAAACTGGTCGCAGGAATTAGGCGTTTGTCCTTGTCTCGCAAGTGGCGTGGGCTGGCTGAAAGCCGGTAGTTAAGGTGCCGAGGGCGGCTGTAGCGGGAGTGTTGGAGCATCCGCTTGGTTGAAGTTGAAGCTTGCTGTTGAAGATGGCAGACCCAGATGTCCTCACCGAGGTTCCAGCAGCATTGAAACGGCTAGCCAAGTATGTCATCCGGGGCTTCTGCGGCATTGAGCACGTGTTGGCCTTGGACATCTTGATCCGCAACCCCTGTGTGAAAGAAGAGGACATGCTGGAGCTGCTCAAGTTCGATCGGAAGCAGCTTCGGTCTGTTTTGAATAACTTTGCAGGGAGACGAGTTCATCAAGTGCAGAATGAGGGTAGAGACGGCCGCAGATGGGAAAACCACGCGCCATAACTACTACTTCATCAACTACCGCACTCTTGTCAATGTCGTCAAGTACACACTGGACCACATGAGAAGGCGGATTGAGACGGATGAGAGAAATTCCACCAATCGGGCCTCCTTCAAATGTCCTGTCTGTTGCAGTACTTTCACGGACCTAGAAGCTAATCAGCTGTTTGACCCTATGACAGGAACTTTCCGCTGTACCTTTTGCCACACAGAGGTAGAAGAAGACGAATCAGCAATGCCCAAGAAAGATGCTCGCACACTTTTGGCAAGATTTAATGAACAAGTTGAGCCCATTTATGCATTGCTTCGGGAGACAGAGGATGTAAACTTGGCCTATGAGATACTTGAACCGGAACCCACAGAAATCCCTGCCCTGAAGCAGAGCAAGGACCAAGCAGCCAGTACTGCTGGGGCTGGCGGCCTGGCAGGCGGGCACCACCGGGAAGCATGGACCAGCAAAGACCCCTCTTATGAGGACTTATATACTCAGAATGTGGTCATTAATATGGATGACCAAGATGATGTTCATCGCACCTCGCTGGAGGGGAAATCTGCCAAAGAGAGGCCCATTTGGTTGAGAGAGAGCACTGTCCAAGGGGCCTATGGTTCTGAAGAGATGAAGGAAGGTGGCATCGATGTGGACACATTTCAGGAGCATGAGGAAGCCCACTCAGGACCTGATGACAATGAGGAGGTCATGCGAGCTCTACTCATTCATGAGAAAAAGACTTCCTCAGCGACAGCCGGCTTGGTGGGAGCATCCGCGCCAGTGACTGCTGCCAATGGCAGTGACTCGGAGAGCGAGACCAGTGAGTCAGATGACGACTCCCCGCCCAGGCCAGCAGCTGTGGCTCCCCATCATCGGGATGAGTTTGAGGAAGTAGCTGATGACCCCATTGTTATGGTAGCTGGCTGTCCATTCTCCTACAGTGAAGTTAGCCAGCGTCCAGAGCTGGTAGCCCAGATGACGCCAGAGGAAAAGGAGGCATACATAGCCATGGCCTCCGTTAGCTCATTTCAGAGAGAAACTCCCCACAAGTGCTTAAGTGGCTTCCTGCCCTCCTGGTGCAAAGCGCCTGTTAATCTAGTACAAAAGCATAACAGGAGAGAAAGGTTGATTTTTAGTTTTTCTAAATGTCAGAAACTTCCAAGACAGGTAGGTGGGCTATGAGTATTCCCTTCCCTCTTATTACTCAAGTATTAATATTTTTCCGTAATTCCTTATCTTCATTTTTAGGATATATTTTTCTCACTCAGACTAAAATGTTCCTGTCTACCTACCTACAGACCCCTCTTAGGATAATCTTATCCTAATATAACTGTTTCCTAGTCGAGCATTTGAAACAATTCCTTGTAGTTCTGCAACCAAAGCAGCTTACCAAGAAAAGATTGCTGCTTAGGGGAACCCCAAATACTTCATATTTCCTCCAATTTGAGTTTGGGGTCAAACTGTAAATGGGGTGAGAGAGTACAGAAGAGAGAAAGAGGAGTTAGAGGCGAGAACGCACACATGTCCAGGGTTACAGAGAACAGCAGGTAGCCATGCTCTCCTGGAGAAGTCAGAGGAAAGTGTGCACACACAAGGGTAAGGAGGCTGTGTCCAGGACTGAAGAACTGAGAGCGTGGGGACAGCGCCTTACAACTGCTCCAGTATGATTTGTACATCTCCATGTTTAGCTGAGCCTGGTCTCACTTCCCTCCTGTTCTCTAGGCCTTTGCCAGTGCTCTTGATTAGGGAGCTGTTCCAGTCGAAAGCGGTAGAATGGCTGATTACGCTGCCCTCCCTCACTCTTCCCTCCACCATCAAAGCCTGTGTCTCTCCTCTGAGTCTTAGAGACATCCTAGTGCTGCCCCTGTGCCATTGAGCAGTGTGACCTCAAGGAACATAGGCCTGTTGGCGTGGGGTCATTCCTCAAGGCAGAACTTCCAAAGTAAAGGACTCTCATAAGGTCTACAACAGTTACATCTTATAGTATTTCCCCTTGCATTGTGACTTTTAATTATTGTTTTGTAGTATATGTGTGAAGCGAAGAGCATTTTAGACTATCTGAGCCTTGTATAAAGTGATGATTCATTTACCTGGTTGTTGGATGACTGAATATTGAGTCGACTTATTATTGTTTAAAATTTGTTCATTTCTAGCTCTGACATTTTGGAACATAGCTAGAATGACTCCTCTTCCCATTTAAAGATGTCAGAGGCTTCTGGCCATCATCTAATATCATAGGTGCGACTGGATGCTATTGCAACTTTTTTGGAAGGGGGCAATGAATTGCCTTAAAATACCTTTTATGTATTTATCTTAAAGACACAAAACTGTTCAACTTTTAAATTTTGTTTTTTTAAGCTTTCATGGTTCTAGAAATGTTAATTTTTAAACCATGATTAATGTTGAAACTATGTTCTTTATTGCATTTTATATGAGTATGTGTATGAGTGTGCTTTTCTATTGTGGAAAATGTATTAATAAAGACACTGATTAAAGCAGTGTTCGAATTAGACTGGGGGAAAAAAAAGAAACAGATCAGTCCTTGCCTAGAAGGAGCTCAGTGATGCTTAAAATCAGAATCCACTTGACTTGCTGGAGAGAAGGTGGCACACTGTGTGGAGAGGGTGGCAAGACTTGTAGAAGAAGTGCACTGAGCTGAGGGGAAGAGGGAACATTCTAGACTGACTCCTAGTCTGTGTTCCAGCCACAGCACAGAGAGTGTTCAGCTCAGTGGAAGGCTGAAAGTGTGGACCTAAGGGATAGAGAGCAGAGTCAGAGACTTGGGGGTGTCATTCTAGAGAAACCTGGTCCTAGGTAAGCTATGCAAGCTTCAGTTTCCTCTCCCAAAGAAATGGGGGTGATAATAATGCCTACCTCATAAGTCTGTCTGTGAACATTAAATGTTGAGAATTCTGCATTTTACTTGGTCTTATGAGTAAACATAGCCATTGGTGGCACGTGGCGCCGGGTACTTCTGAGGAGGGTAAATAAAATGTGTATTCCAATAAAACATTTGCTGACATTTTATTTTAAAAAATAATCCATTGGTATTTTCCTAGTCAGCTTTAATTCAACTTGACACAGCCTCGAACCCTCTGAGAGAAAGCTTACGTTGAGGAACTGATCAGATCGATCTGTGAGTACATCAGTGGGGATTTGCCTTGCTTTCAGTTTTGATGCAAGAGAGCCCTGCTCATGGTGGGTGGCCCCACCCCTAAGTGATCTTGGGCTATCTAGAAAAGCTGGCTAAGTACGAGCTTGTGACTGGACGAATCAGCGTCCTTGTTCCTCTGCAGTCTCTGCTTCAAGCTCCTGCCTAAGTTCCTGCTCAGCTTCTCCCAGTGATGGACCCTCTCTTCCCCTAAGTTGCTTTTGGTCTGAGTGTTTGTTATCACAGCAACAGAAATCAAACAAACTAGCAAAGGCATAGATAATGATTTTACCAATAAAGATGAGAGCTAATTTGCATATGCATGGGACGACTGTTCTTGTCTCTCTCACTCAATCCAACCCCAAAGTTTTGATACACAGGGCAAAAAATTACAAATCTGTTTTCCATAATTAAACCTTTGTGTTTCTGTGAAGTAGAAAGCTGTGTGTATTGAAAAGTTAGCCTATAATATATAACAACCATCTGTAATCTAAGCCAGGGGCTTCAGGTAGCACCCACTGGCACGCACAGTGCAGTATATATCTGAAGTTGCACGATTCACCATGAGTAAGTGCTGCCAAGCACACTTCAGATTCGTTCTGTGTTGGATTTTGAGTTATTGTTTTAGTTGTTGCGTGTTGAGAATACTATTTATTGTTGCTAAATTTTTCACAACTCCCCATTCAGTTATGTGACTCCATGTTGGGCCATCAGACACAGTTTTAGGGAGGCCTGCCTTAAAGAATGGGTGACACACGTGGGTGAATATCCCGAGAAACATGCGCTAAGGCAACGCTTGCCGGCCAACCCAAGGAGCCCCAAATTGCCTTTAGACCGTGGTGAGCTGTTTTGGGCGTTTGCCACCAAGCGACATGACTTGAAGAGAACCCCGTGAAAGGGATAAAAGATTGGAAGGTGCTAATTCATTTAGTAAATACTTATTTTTCCTCCTCCTCATTTAAAATCATGCCAGGGTGCTTATGAAGAAAAAAGAACAAGAGAGAAGCAGCAGGAGCCTGTGTTCTGGGAACTTCTCTTCTAACAGAGTAGGCACATCCATCAGTTCACCCCACAATACAGAGCAGACACATTGGTTGGTCCACCTCACAGTATGAAGGAGACACACCCATCAGTCCACCTCGCGCTACAACATGGGTACGCGTCACAGGAGGCTGTCGGGTTTCAGCCACTGTAGGAGCGAGAATGAGAGTGGGTTCGTGGTGTGATGCTCTGAAGTCACCTCACAGGGGACACATCCGGCTGACTCAGCCCTTTCCACTCAGCCAGATAGCATGGCTCTGCCTCCTTCCTTGCTTCGGAGATCCAGGTGAAGCCAGGGAGAGGAGTTCATTCTGTGAGTGCTGGGTGCTGGTAGCAGAGCACACCAAGAGTTCTCAAAGGAAGCCTCATGTTCTTTGGGGAAGATGTTGGGTTGTCACAGGGATTAGGGACAGTGAGAGACACCGAAAACAACTCTCTCTTTTGTAGGATAGTCCAGTCACCAGGATGAAGAATTACTCTGCTCAGCCTTCACAATGACACATAGACAAAGCATCTGCTTATGAATCTGAACCAGAGTCAAAGTTGCCTCCCAGGAGGCACACCCAGGTCACAGGGCACTGGACTTTCCAGCTAGTGTGAATGGAGTGGAATTGACAACTTGTTCTTCTTGAAACTCTGGAGTTATTTACTATTTTGGAAAAAGTCATATTAATATAACCATGGTGTCACATTTGCAGAGGCATTCTCCCTCACCTCTCTCTCTCTCTCTTTCTCTCGTCTCTCTCTCTCTCTCTCTCTCTCTCTCTCTCTCTCTCTCTCTCTCTGACACACATACACACACACACATACACACACACACTTTTACTTAACCCTGTTTCAAATATAAAAATATATAGGCAATTTTTTGGACTCTGGAGTGTGTTAAACTATTTGCCTTTTCTTTCTCCTGCAGTTGAAGCTTTTAAAAATGATTTGTATAAGTCAGCTGTATTGACCATAGGTTTTGCTACATAGAGTAAAGATGGCATTATAAAGTTTTGTTATTGAAAGTGCTGTGGGAGTGGCAGGAGAGAGAGGGAGAACTGGTGAATTAGATCTTGTCACTAGAGAAGATGGAGACCCATCACCAAGTGATTCACTACCCTTCCTGGCCTGTCCCTAATGCGTCCTTGTAAGATGTTGTCTGGTCAGCAGATAACTGTGTCTGCTCTGAATTTAGCAGAGACTGAGCGCCCAAAGAAAGACCTGGGGGGAGGGAGATGTACCAACAATGCTGATAAAAATCTATACTCACATTCAAACCCCACATTAACCCATGAGGCTTCTGACAAGACCGAAATGGATCCCTGAGTCACAGAGTACAGATTCCTCTCGCACATTGGTCTCTTTCGTCAGGCCAAGGCAGCCAGTGACCTGAACTAAATAGCCAGGACTAAATGTAAGCTCACTAGGACCCTTCCTACCCCATCTGGATCCCTTTGATGCTCTGACCATCACCTTGGAGCTCTGGTTTACAAGAAGATGCTGTATTTATAGACCATCTTTTTGAGAAACCTGAAGGCTCTTTTTGGAGATTAGCTCATTGCCGCAGGGGTAGAGGTGAGTGATGGAGCCAGAGGTTGGTGCTTCTATCCCTGTAAGGCAGAAGAGTGAGCCAGTATGGAGGCCACAGACTCCCCGAGCCTCTGTCTCCAGTGTGACCTCTGATGAGTCTCATCAGCCCCTCTTTTTCTAGACACTGAGATCTTAGCCCAAAGACAGGCATAAGGAGCTTCAAGGAAGAATCTGCTGGGTCTGTGATTCTGTGTTTCTCGTGGCTGCTGCAACAAGCTGCAAGCTGGCAGCCGCCGCATTTGGAGCTCTGTATAAATACATACAATATAGGATTTGCTTTTTAAAAAAGAAATTGGATTTTTCCGTGTTACCCAGCTGGCCCTGAGCTCCTGGGTGTAGTTGGGAGTTTCGATGCCTCCACCATGCCTGGCTGAAATGTACTTAAGGCAATTTTCGTTTGGTGAGTGTCCGCCAAGGATTCATTACCACTGAAGGCGTGGTCTGCATGGTGGTGTGTGGGTGGTAGTAGGATCTTTGGGAGGTGGGATTCCCAGGGAGTCCTAAGGTAGACCTGTTGTTAGAGCCCTATGTATCCTCCTTCTCTGACCTCTTTTTTTTTGACATGTAGCCCCTTGTTTCTTTAGGCTTCCACCATAATCCACTGTCCTCACAAGAGGCCAAACCAGTAGAAACTCCAACCATGCCCAGTCTTACACTTTGAAACTCAAAGGCAGTAATCCAAAAAATGTTTTGTTTGGGGGCTGGAGAGATGGCTCAGAGGTTAAGAGAACTGATTGTTCTTCCAGAAGTCCTGAGTTCAATTCCCAGCAACCACATAGTGGCTCACAACCATCTCTAATGAAATCTGGTGCCCTCTACTGGCCTGCAGGTGTACATGCAGGCAGAGCACTGTAAACAAAACTTTTTTTTTTTAAAAAAAAATGTTTTGTTTGTGTAAGTTAGCTGCTTCCGGTATTTTGTTGCAGTAATACACGGCTGATAGAGGCAACAAGGTGGTGGCACTGGATAGACACTTGTC